GGGAACTTGCAGTGAATGCTTTCTCTTGCAACAGTCAACCTGTAGTCCTCAACACTGAAGATTCTGGTATTTTATATATATATTACAGAAATGTATTAACCCTTTGATGTTTTCTGTTTTATGAGCTCTCTGCATGTCATTGTTAGGATTTAACTGTGATTTTAAGCAGGTTTTTTGTTAGAAATATCATTAACATTATTCATCCTTATAGGTTTCTCACTATCTTTTTATATGTAACAGAAGAAAGATATCAATAGAGACAACTTGATAGCCACGAAGATATTAAAGATAGTGCAGTTATCAGCTGAATCACACATAATTTGATGAAATTAATTGGGATATGTTCAAAAAGCAATTCTATTCCTATCTCTATGGTAAAAGACTTTCCAATCATGCAGTTACGCTGGAGCTGTTCTCATGGCAATTGGCAGGAGTTGCATGTACTGAAAAAGGCTCTTGTTTTTGTTTTTGAAGAACTGGATCATTCAGAGTGTGTGCTTCAGGGAGTTTGTTCTTCTCACCCGGATAAAGCCACTGATTTCTGCTTCACTGTGCTCTGCACATGTAGGAAAACAGATTAGCCAATGTTGTTTTCTTTCTGTACTTTGTGTGTGGGAGGAGAGTAAATCTCTCTGACCCATTCCACCCACGGCACTTCAGTTAGCATTGGGCAGCACCATTCTCAATCTCACCAGCTGAATTCAGGGAACTCAGAATTGTCATAGTCATGAAACATTCCAGCTGTAAGTGGAAAATAAGAGTTGTCTTCTTCTGTCTTAGCCCAGCATGGGCTGTTACCTACAGGTGTTACAATGGGGATCTCATGGGGAGAGGATATGAGTCTCTGTTTCAGAAATGGAGATAAGTAAGTGACGTTTTGGAGAATGAGTTTTGTCATGGGCAGTCCACTCTCACATTAGGGTAGCTAGAGCAAAGCCTATGGAATTACATTTCACATGCAGGGCAAAGGAGCATTTCCAGATGGTATCTACAAATTCCTAGTCAAACTGAAAAAAATAATAAAGCAAACCAAAAAGGCCTGTGAAACTCTGAGTATATGATAAAGACTTCAGTATGTAGCTCATATAGTGTACAGACACCACTGGATAGCCCAGTTAAAGATCTTTTCTGCTCAAAATGGCTAATAGGCTAAGCCTCATTTCATTTTCTAAATGATGAATGTGGTTTTCCTTAGCTGCCCCACATAGACCTATAAGGAAGGTCCACAGCCATGGGGCTGTGGAGCACTCCATGGGCATGGACTGTAATCAGCTGAGCTACAGGAACGAGAGGCCTGCTGGTGGTGGTCCTCCCCAGAAACAACTACCAGTACAGCTATATTAGTTTTTGTGAGAAAGTGCTGCTCACATGGGCTTGATGTAAATTTATTCACAGTAATGTCCACCATAATTGTATTTCCAGGAAAGAATGTCATGTGTGCATGAGGTAGAGCGCAGAGGCATAAGACATCAGTCTTCATGTTCCCAGCCCCTATGTGATCCTACAAAGAGATAGCAGGGATTGAGGTACCATGGGAAATGCTCATCTTAAGGAAGGGATGAGAAGTTGCATATAAACATCATGCCCCAAAAGTGGGGTTTTTTTCTGTGTTAAGAAAACAATGTGACCCTGTATCATTAGGTGCTTTACATGTCCGGGAGGAAATGAAAAAAATCTCAAGAATTCATCCTAAGTATTGCTTGAAGAAAGTACTTTCCAGTTTCCATTTAGGAGCAACTACATTTCTGGCATAATTAGGCACAGCTCATATACTCCAGAGAAAATGTGAAGAAACAAAAAATGCAAGAAAAGGAATAAAATAGCCCCATGATTAAATCTCCACCAGCTACCTCCACACGAAATCTTTCATATATTCACGTCCTAGAAAGTATTTATTACACCTTGGGGGATTCTTTCATATACTTTTGGATTAATGAGAATCTCTTCCAATAACATTCATCACTTAGTAATGATTTGGTTTTAATATATCAGCTCACAACAGCACCTTTCAATGGGAAAAGCATTTCCAGAGTACAGCTATTGCCTGGCTAAAGTGTGGTCAAAATTGTGTAGAATGCCTTAATTTAACAACACAAGGCTCAATCCATGCCTTTCAGTGCAAAAATGAACTCAGAAGGAATAAAATCCTGTTCAGGCTTTGCATTTTTATTGTGCTTCACATGCTCAAATAGCTCATTAATCCCTTCACTATCAGTTTGATAAGTATAAATATTATTTCCTTCACAGCTAGAGGGACACAGACATGTTTTCAAAAGGCTTGAGCCTCACAAACTCCAGTGTGAGCTGTACACATTTATCATCCTATAAAAGCAGGGCTGCAATGAGTTGCCTTGGCCGCTCAGCGACTTACTAGTAAAGCCAGAATACTACTAGACTAGCACCTGAAAAATCTGCCAGGTCCTCTGCTCATACCACTTTCCCATGTGCCACCATGCAGACATGGGTGTTCAATTTTTGCAGAATCCAAAATTTAATTGAAAAGCAATGTTTTTGACACTGTAGTTGCATACCTGAGATGAGTATAACTTTAAACACTGATCCATTCCTAAGTGAGGTCACTGCTTCTCTGGCTATGCAGAGCTTCCCCAAGGTGAGAGATGTCCACCTTTGGAGATCAGAGCAGAAGGCAGGATGACACAAGTCCTGACATTTTGACTGAGGATACATGGGAAAGGTGGCATGTGAGGACTCCCATGATGCATGAGATAGTGTTTGGGCAGGTGCATGAGTAGAGGTGATTCATAGACAGGACTTTGAGAAATTAAGGAGGAAGAAAGCTCTTCAAATGGGTCCACTTCTCATTTACCAAAAGAAGGCAAAATAACTTATGGCCCCTTCTCAGTGTCTGGGGCAGATGTGTGAAAGAAGTCCTGTGACTACAGGACTGGTGAGAGAGGCAACTTTGCACTTGGGTTTTGCCCTCAGCACAAGGCTTCCTGTTCATCTTTGGCCTGCAGGTGTCCCAGACCAAAGGCAGGAGAGTCTGAATGTGTGGGAAGCAGAATAGAAAAGCAGGAAGAAACTGACAACACAGTTTCCTGAAGTCCTTTTTCAGGGCTTCATAATAAAAGACATACTTGTGGGAAAGACAGGTGAGAAATCTGAAGGCAGAAAATGTCAAGATGAAAACATGCTATGGAAAAAGAGTAGGGAAAAGGAAGATACCAAGTAAAAAAGAACAAACCTTAAGAATTATTAATTTTTAATGATTGAAGACAAACAGAGTGAAGCTTCGGAGACAATGAAGATAGGAACAAAAACAAAGGAAGATCATGTAAGTAGTCATTACAATGTTTGAGTGAGAATGTATTGGCAATATAGATCAGAATGCTATAAACAGCATACCAGCACATAGTCTTGTCAACAGCAGTGACTTGACCCAGTCTGGAAAATACAGTCACACCAGCATTACTTCAGTTCAGGTGAATAGCTTTAATACAGCTCTGCCAGGGGAGGTTTAGGTTGGATAGTAGGAAGAAATAGTTTACAGAGAGAGTAATCAGACATTAGAACGGGCTGCCCAGGGAGGTGGTGGATTCACCGTCCCTGGAGGTTTTTAAGATGAGACTGGATGTGACACTTAGTGCCTAGTGACCATGGCAGTGTTGGATCAAGGGTTGGACTTGATGATCTCGGAGGTCTTTTCCAACCCGGATGATTCTACGGTTCTATGATGAACATTGAGAAACGTATATTTGACACAGATCGATACAAGATGTGATGGAAGAACCATATCCATTCCATAAAAATTACTTTTATCATGTTTTCCTTGCAATTTCAGAGAACATATAAAGCAAAATTAGGTTAGGATCAGAACCATAGAATCACAGAATATCTTGAGTTGGAAGGGACCCATGAGGATCATCAAGTCCAACTCCTGGCTCTGCACAGAACAACCCCAAAAATCACACCATGTATTTGAGAGCATTGTCCTAACGCTTCTTGAACTCTGGCAGGTTTGGTGCAGTGACCACTTCTCTGGGGTAGAGCAGATAGCACATGCATGAGAGTGCCCTGCCATTTTGTTGTTTAGGTTCCAGCACAACATAGAGTGATCTCTCTTTTCATTTATGGTATGGGGCTTCCATTTCCTAGTTTGTCTTTAGTCTCCCACTTCTTCCCAGGCTCTTATTCTCTTTTGCCATCACTCTTGCCATTTGGGGCCAAAACTGCAATCAGTTGCTCAATTAAAGCACTGAAAAGTTTGAATATGGAAAGACTGAATACGAAGTACGTAATCAAGTTCCTAATTCACTTTGTGTTTTCTTTTTTCTCTCTGATCTTAATCGCTGTCTTTTTCTCAGTTGGCATTCACAACTTCTTTGCAGGATGTGCTGGCACATTTACTCTCTTCTATGCTTTTTCTATGTCCTTGTTTCCTTTATTCCTCCGTGCTCTTCTTCTGTATTTCCATTTTAACTACTTCATGTTGCTTAGCAACACCCAGAATGACACCAACAAGGTACAGTTTCACTGCATCTAACAAGTGTCACCTTACAAGGAACAAAATACAATTTAACTTCACACTCTTAGGGAATTCATTTTCTCAGGACAGCACTGATCTCTAATTTATATCTTCTTAATCTTATGTTTTCTATGAAAGCTAAGAGCAAGTCAAACACACAGAAACACACAGTATTTCATAGGATATTTGCACCTTTCAGTTTTCCTCGATTTTGCTCTGAGATTGCTAACCTGCCAAGACAATAAGAAACCTAAAATAAGAGAAGTTTTTAGATCCTGGCTTTCCCAACATGCAGATCCAGAGACTGTGGTTGACATATAAATGCTCAAACTGCTACACTCAGTTAGAACCCAAACTTTATAAAAAGTTGGAAGATGTTTGGATTGTGAGACTGAAGCCTGGTCACAAACCTAATTAAACACCATCCACATGTTTCCAATAAACATCTTGAATATCCCAAATTTTATACCAGACTGCTTTCTCCCTTGGTAGAATAGAACAGAAACAAAACAAATGGGCTGAGCTGCTTTATTATTAATAATATTATTATAATTTACAATTGTTTTGGACAACTTATTTTACCAGAAATATTGTGAAGATGGGACAAGAAATATAGTACCTTATATGTCACAAGCTGTTATCAATTTCAAATCACACAAGGGAATTTTTTTTCCACACAAAATCACAACGTGAAACACTCAAGTGCACTTCTGATCTTCATTGAAACGTTCTACTTCTGAGGAGAAAAATGGAAACTGATTTTTTTGTTTAAAAATATGCTTTTAAAACTCAGTTACTGATTAAAAAGATTTTTTATGCTTTGAAATCTGAATACATATGGGACTTGAGATTTACACATTTTCATGGAATCATTACAAATGTTTTTTACAAAGTCAAGGCAACTCCCTGAAATATATTGGAAAAAAAATTACATTTATTCAGTAAAATTCCTTGAAAAATAACTGACATTTTCACACTAGCTTCAGAAAGAAGCTAATTTCCAAACAGGCAAGGCCCTACACTGAACTGAGAAATCCTGGTTTTGGATTTATTAACCATGTTTATAAAAGCCAGAGAGGAACATGAACGTCATACCTACTCATACATCTAGATATATATCCTTGAAATAAATTCTTTGATCTCCAGTCATACAAAACTTCAATTAACTGTTTGATTTCACTTGGCTTTTGTTCAGCCTCTGGGATCACGTAATGTCAGCCCTGGAGATACTTTTATTCAGCAAGCGGATGTCACAATGAATAATACTTATTCAGTCAACTACAGCTTTTAATTAGTTTTTTTTAGGGTCTGGTTCAGCAGCCCTTACTCATATTGAGTAATATTCACTGCACAAATAGTTCTGCTGTTGCAGTCGCGTTAATCATCGAAAGCACTGGTGAACTAAGCCCTGAATAAGTAAGAACTATTACATTTAACCAAGTACGGTAATTTTGTCCCATTTATCCACATACCTCCTGACATACAAAAAATGATCAATTACTGGTAACCTATTGAACAACAGTGTGCTTACATAATATATAACTATTATTATACTGTACTACATTTTTATATTTTTATTATTGGACTCGGTGTGGCACCAAGTAACAGCAAAACTGTGTCCATGCTAAAACTACATATGACTCTGTATACTTCTGCTTCTAACACACCTATGAAACTTAACTAAGAAAATAGGTGAGGGAGAGAGATTAAATTCTGAGTTCTGAATATACAGAAAAAATTCTAACACTAGCAGACAAGCCTAATACCTTCTAACACTGAATCTGTGTCTGGAGAGAGTTCCTGGTTCCTGGAATGAAAAAAATAATCTGTAATATAGTTGAATTACATAAAAAGAAAACCAAGAAACTACCTCTGTTTCTAGGTATCCCTTGCTTTCCACAAACACTTGTACATAAATAAAGTCAGGATAACTTACCAGGAAACAAGATCCAACAAATAGGGAAAGAAAACCAGTATTATTTGCTCAGTATTATTTGTTTCTCACCATCCTTTTTGTCCTTTTTATTTTGACTCTCTACTCTACACAGTGAGTCCTCATGTACAGATAGATATATACATATATATGCCCTCCCTGAGTACATAAAGGATTATATATGGTGACTCATCTGCTCTCGTGCTGGCCCTGCTACCAGCAGGTCTTAAAAATAAATCCAGATGAATAAAAATGTCTTAGAATCAACTCCAGCAAAGAGACAATAAAGCTCCACTGCCAGTGAAAAAGAAAACAAATAGACATTTCAGTGTCTAAAGTTGGACCCTAAAACTAGCTGGTGTGCAGATGTATTGTTTCACATTGCCCTGGGCTTGCCTCTTCTGGATTGGATTCAGATGAAATTCCAATGGATGTGGGCAAAAGTTACTCAAAATTATAGGTTACTTAGAGTCATAGAAGCCGCCACAGCTATAGGAGCAGAGTTATTGATGTTAGATGTAACAGAGACTGAAGAAAGCTCACGATCTGCATTGTGCATTTCCACTCTATTCTTTACAGGAGAAGCCCTGCTGCCATCTCATTGAAACCCAAGGGTTCAGGGAGTTAGATCCAGGCTAAAGCCTCCACATCAGGTAATCTCTGTGCCCTCTGCTGTGCCTTAAACTCCTCTTTAAGGCACAGAAACACAGACTGGCCTCTCTCTGTGATAGGAACATGCTTACCCCCATGGTTACTGTGATCTACGGAAACACATTCCCTAACACACAAGTGCTCTTTGCACATTGTGTCTGAGATCAGTAATCCCTGAAAATGTTCCAGTTTTTTATATTCTGAACAAGATTTGCCTTTGGAGTTTGCTTTTTTTTAATGCCATCCCTGTGTTTCAAACATTTCATGTTTTATCAAATTTTTAATAGTAGCTCCACTTACAAGTGTATTTATAGAATAACTACGAGTAAATCCCTCTTTTCTATCACATTTTATAAGTGAAGCAGTAAAATATTCAGAGTGTGTCGCTACCTATTCATGAAGTTTATATTCAAGCTGATATTGATAGAAGTTAGAAAAACAAAAGCCATTTTGTACCAGTTGCGGTGTATCACCTTGTAGGTGTCTGCAAGAACTGCAAATAATAAACCTTTAATAGCTGAAGCTGCCTATTTCTGACATTATGTTGATGCAATTCAGGGAAAAAAAAAAAGGAAAAAAATCCAACAACCAATAGCAGGTCACTGGTGAAACAAGGATAAGCAAAAAAAAAAGAGAGATTCCAACCTTGAGTTTGAGCACAGGCTGCCTGCATGACAGTGAGGACTATATATTTCGAACTACAAAGCCAGAAAAACTTCTAATTAAAATTTTTAACTCTCTGCCTAAAAGCATCTCATTCAAAAGAAGAAATTATTTCCTAGCATGGCAACTCTTCTAAGGTCTATTCCATATGTAAAACATTTCTCTTTCAGGAGGCTGTTAGCATTATCATCATGTTTTCTTGCTAGCCTTGCTTTTCAGTATGAAGAGGCTTCTCTGTCACACAGGGCATGATAGGCAAAAAATTGCTCTCTAGCATGTGAAATGTCTGTGTGCAAGAGTTTGCACAAGGTGGAAATTACACTGTTTTTCACATCAAGGAAAAAAAAGAGGGGTTCTGTAAACTAAGCTTATAGGGGAAGGTGCCCGTTGAATCAAGATGTCAAGTGAACACTTCTCACAGTGACTGCAATATTTACTCAAACAACGACCCCATCAAGATCAATAGGAGAAACAGTGGGTATAGAGGCAGCCCTGGGACATAGAGCATTTTGAAATCTTGATTAATTTCTGCTGCTTGTCAATTTTGTTCTCTCTGTAGTTTTTTCCAGATAGCATAAACATAGAGCATGCATTTAATTTATTTTGTTCTCAATTAAAAAGTATAGGAATCCTAAGAATTTAATCCTTCCAGACTTTTCATCCAGTCATTTCCACCAAACCCTTGGGAAGAAAACATTACAAATACACTGAATTAGGCCCAAGTGAATTCGTTGTGTTCCTAACAAATTAAATTCATTGATGCTGGCAAAGGAATGAGAATTCCTGTTGCAAATATTTGTCACTTAGCTCATATTTTGGTTTTAGAAACTTCAGCTGGACTTATCATGAAACAACTTCTTATAAGGCTAAACAGTTGGAAGTATACAACAAATGATATTTTAGGCTACACAACTGTCTGCTCAAACAAGAGAGAAGAAATATTTCTTCTTTGCATGCTTGCACAGCAGCAGCTAGAATCTAGTCCTGGACTGGCACCTTCTGCCTTTTCACCCCAAAGACTTTCTGTGAGCAACCCTGCAGGCTGGCAAATGAAAAAGAGGTACAGTATTACCATGTCTCCAACAAATACGCTGCATCCAAGCTGCTTTTGAGGAAAGAACTTTGTGCAAGTCAGAGACGTGCCCCCACACTGCTTTTAGCGCACCTTAAAGAGTGGGCCTCATCTTCCCAGGACTGAAGCCACTTAACCTCAAACTGAGGAGAAAGCTGTAGTCTGTGGAGCGGTGCAGATCAAAATGCCTTGGAGAATCTCTGGCACAACTCCCCACCCCACTCCACCCAACCCTGGTGTAGGCATACAGACCCACATCTACTGTACGGACAGGGGAAACACCATGCAGAAAGGGTTTGGGGTTCCCCTTTTCCCACCAACAACCCTGATAACACCATCTCATGGGGAGCTTTGTGGCAGGTTTGCAGACAGGAAGGCCAGCCAAAACCTCCATTCCACCCTGGCGGAAACAGACCAACAAAAGGCTACAGTGGCTCCAGAAAGAAAATCTCTGTATTAAAAGCCAAATAACGCAGAGCTACAATAATAAATACACACTATCTCAACCGGTAAATACAGTGTAAAAGATTCATTAAAGTTCAGCTTCAGCAATAACAATATATATATCGCTTCAGTTCTCTGTCCTGCCAAGAGAGATGTCCCTTTCTGTCCACAAAGGAAAAACCCACTCAAACTGTATCCTATATGAAAACGCTACTGCGATGACAATAAATATGGCCAAATAGGAGGTTCTCTGAGTTCCTCCTTTGATTTTTTTGGGTGGACTTTTCCTTTCCTTTTTTTTTCTTTTCTTTTCTTTTTTTTTTTTTTTTTTTTTTTTTTACCAAAAGGTTCGTTTAAAACGGGTATTAAAGATATAAAACGCGCACACAGGTCCCCTCGGGGCCGCTCCCCTCGGAGCCGGGCAGGGCCGGCCGGGCGCTAAGGCGGCCCCGCGACCCGCTGCGCACCTGTGGCACGCTTTAAACAACAAAAACACGACAGAGTCCGTCCCGCGTCCCTCCACAGCACACGACGAAGAGAAGGGGGGTCACCGGGATAGGCTATTTGGCGGCGGTGGCGGTGGTGGTGCCGGCGGTGGTGCCGCGGCGCTGCTCCATCCCGTTGGGCAGGAATCCGGCGATGATGGGCACGGGCCAGATGAGGGCGGCCACGCTCCACACGATGATGACCAGAGTCATAAAACACGCCACCAAGGTGGACTCGATGGGCTTGCGGTTCATCCGCCAGCCCGGCTCGCCCTTTAGCTCCTCCAGGCTGAAATCCAGGCAGCAGAAATTCAGCGGCTCCCCTTGCAGCCAGTACTGGCCAGGCTCCGCCGCCGGCGGGTAGGACAGCGAGGAGGAGGAGGAGGCAGCGGCGGCAGCGGGCTGGGGCGCGGTGCCCCTCAGGCGGCCGACCCGCCTGCCCCGCACCCAGCTACAGCCCACGCAGAGGCGCAAGTCCTGCTGAGCGCCGCCGGCCGCCAGCCCCAGGTGCTCGATGAGCAGCGGCGGCCCCACGCGGTGAAAGGCGGCGGAGAAGAAGGCCCGCCCGTGGCTGTTGGTGGAGAAGAGCAAGAGGTCGCACTGGATGCCCAGCGGGCGGCTCCAGCGCACCAGCAGCGAGCTCAGCATCTGCCGCTGCACGCTGATGTTGCAGTGCGGGTCCTCGGCGGGCTGCGGCTGCCCCTGCGGCTGGGGCCGCTGCTGCTGTTCCTGCTGCTCCCGCTGCTGCTGCTGCCCGGGGGAGGTGGGAGTGGAAGAGAAAGGCTCTCGGCTAGGGGCAGCTGGCGTGCCCGGGCTGTCGGTGCTCCCTTCCTCCTTGCTCGCTGCGCCGTCGAGGTCCATCTCGAGGCTGGCCAAGGAGCGGGAGGAGGAGTTGGCAGGGGGCAAGAAGAGCTCCTGCTCCTGCTCCTCCTGACCGCTGGCAGCCGCCGAGGGGCTCCAGCCCTGGCAGGGCGGCAGGCAGGCGGCCAGCAGTGCCGGGAAGAGCAGCGGCAGCATGGCATTAACTTAGAGTCGGAGAGGAGGGAGAGGAGGAGGAGGAACGAGAGGCTGCATGGCGCTGCCGGCTGCCATCTGGGAAGGGAGGCACAGTGCTCTCGCCGAGAAAGCGAGAGAAAGGAAAGGAGGGTGGGGGCAGGCGAGGGGGTGGGAGCGGGGCTGGGGCTGCCGCGGCGACGAGCCGAGTGAGCCGGGAGCCTCGGTGACGGCAGCGGCTCCCCCCTTCCCCGCCTCCTCCGCCCCCGGCCCGGCCCGGCAGCGCTCCGGCGGGAGGAGCCGTGAGCCCGGCCGGCCCCGCTGCCGCACCCGCGGGTGCCGGCCCGGGGCAGCTGCGCTCCCTGGGCAGGCAGTGCTCCGTCCCCCGGGGCGCTGCCGGGCAGCGGCCGCTCCTCTGCCCTCGGGCGGAGACTCGCCTCCCCTCAGGCGGGGACCCATCTCACGCGGCGACCCACCTCACCCGCCGCCACCGCGCCCGTCCTCCCTCACCCGTCTCCGGGGACAGAGCCTCTCAGCTCCGCCGCCGCCTCGCCCGCGGGGCTGCCGTGTCCGCCCTCCCTCCTCGGTGGGCAGGGGCGAAGGGAAGGGGCTGGCTGCGGGCAGCGCCCTCGGGCCGGGGCGGGGGGCGCGGATGGGGGAAGAGCATCCAGGAAGCGACCGCACACGCCTTCACTTCGGCTTCATAGGAAGGGAACGGGACGGGGGAGGCGCGGAGGAAGGGAGTTTAAACTCGGTGACTGGGACCTTCCAGCGGTGCTCTCCAAGTCCAGGCTCGGCACCAAACCTGGACGTCGGGCGTCCAAATCTGGCCTTGGGCACCAGACATCCCACCCGTCCGACGGGCGCTGTCGGTCCTTGTAGCAAAGATTTAAGCGAGGAAGCTTACAAGTAGCACAAAGCTCCCAAGCGCGGTAGCCGTGAGACTTGGCAGCGTTTTTTTGAAACGCTACTTTATAAGCATGATACTTTGTAATCAGGCTAGATACTCCAGTTTGTTTAGTGACCCTATGCTGGTTATAGAGTTATTCATTACACGGTTTGAGGCTTGTGTTACTACACTTGGAGACTCGGGGTGGGACAGAACTAATGAAAGAAATGATGAACGTTTCTTACTCTTTACCTTGAGCAGTGGGTGGGATAGAGTTACATTTTCCTGGCAGGCATTCAGAACTCGGATTCTCTTCTTTACCTCTGCAGCCCGTTTTCGACAAATACAGTTGCAAAAGGGAGGTGCTAATCTTTCCCAAGTATATATGAGATAATTTATGTAAACAATAGAACTAAAGCGCATATGGCACTCCTTTGAGATTGGCATTGGTCCCATGTCAGACATGTTACCACGTCAAAGTGACACATGGACACATTTTCATTTGGAGAAATGAGTTACTGTAATACCACTCTCAAGTGTTTCAGGTGAGTGAGGATAGTGAATGAAGGTACAGAGTAAATTTTAGATTTTATATAATTCAACGTGAATGAAGGTAGTGAATCAGTTTTCTTTCAAAACCTGTGCCTAAACATATATTGACAAAATCCAGAGTTGTTTGCCTTCTATTCAAAAGATATCTGAGCACCAAAATGTGTTTGGTCTTCATCCCAAATTAGTCCAAAGGGTATTGGCTACCCATAGTTTGGCTAGGTTTTTAGCTTTGCTTACTACAGAGAAACATGCCTGATGAAATGTTCGAAGCAAGCTGTTTGCTTCCAATTCTGGGCTCGTGCTCAAATGCTGCAATACAGTTAATACATTTTTCAGTGCTATTTCAATGTCTCTTATTTAAGAGTTCTCTGATATTTTTTATTGCCTGTTGAATGTGTCTCTACATGCATCTCCTGATGTCGTTTGTCATATCCACGCTCCCACACATTTGTGCAACTGTTGTATGTCTATAGACCCCAGACCAGATTAAGAGAGGGCTAGTGTGTAGCAAATAATGCCAAAACTGTGTGGCCACCCATGTGTACAAATTATAATGCACTGGGATTTTTGGCACAAAGGACTGGAAATGAAACTAAGACTCGTAAATAAGATTTAGCTCCTGAACACTGTTGCAGTGTGTGGGTGGCAAATGTTCTCAGGCAGAGCTTCAGTTCTTTTGGTCTCCACTCCCTGCACCCAGCTGAATGCAGTCAAGGGTATTTGCGAAGAAATTGGAGGGGAGAAGGGTTGAGCTAAATTTCTTTTTCTGAAAGGAAAGACAACCCACCACAGGGAGGTTAAATGCATTTAGCATCATTTAGACCTCCATAGCAAAGAACTAAAAGATAGCAATTTATTTCAGATTGGAGATGCATGGGTGCCTCATATCTATTCCTCTTCATCCAGGAATAATTGAGTAAGTGGGTGGAAGACGCAGAAAGTATGTTAGATCATTGGTTGATAGGCACTGTCCAGCAGGGCCCTTTAGAGATACTTTATTTCTAGGTCTACGAGATATAATTAATCTCTACATGGATTCAGTCATTCAAAGAGATTGCAACACACTTGAAAACTCTTCGTAAGCAGTATTAACATATATAGCTCTATTCTGTGGTTTTCAGCCATAAATCTCAAAGAACAAAGTAGTTTTATGGCTAGTGAGACTGAAGCCTAAAGAAATTGGGGGCCTGCCAAAGGTGACCTACATGTCACGGGCAGATCAGGGTGTAGATTTTGCAGGTTTGATTCTATAGCTATAACTAGAACTATAAAATGCACCATAGGTCACAGGAGCATTTGACAGTATGGTAGAGGAGGTGTGAAGTGGGCTATAATGATAAAATTTTAGAAGGGAATAATGAGGTAACAAGACAGTAGGAGTTTCATGAGACAAACTGCAGAGCTGTTGAGAGGGTAAAGACTAATGTTAAAAGACAAACAGAATATTTGGAGTTGTTTTAGTGACATTTTTATTAAAGTATTGCTTGTTAAATACTTCGAGTATGATAAAATCAAGATTAAGTATTTCTGCCTAAGTGCCGTTAAAATTTCTTCTCATGAGGGTGCTGTTTTAGAGCCTGAAATCTCATTGCAGCTGGTGGAAACTGACTCTAAGCAGGTACAGATTCCAGAAAGAAATCTGTAAGTGCATTCAAATCAGAAGCTTGTGATCATCAGGCAGCATTTCTCAGCAAACTCGTGTTGATCTGCACCGAGGAAAGGGAATAACTGTGGAACTTTTTCTTGACAGAGGATGTGCTTTTGAGGTTGTCATTTCTGAGAGGACTTACATGTGGGAGAGAAGACGGCAAAGCAGCAGAGTACAGACAGAGTTGGATACCCAGCCATAACATCACAGAGCTATTTTTCTGTGGAAAGACACCTACTGTCAATTACAGGAAAAAAGATGTTGGGAGCAAGTAAGTATAGTGATGCGTTACCAATCTCTGTAAAAGTGCCAGGTAAGTAAGGAGAATTTCACAGTCAACAGCTGAAGAGGGTCAGGAGAAAGGAGTTGGTACTTGAGTCCTCTCAGAAAAGAGCAGTTTCAGTTCTGTGAAAGGAGTAGGATCAAATCATCCTGAGATTGTTCTGAGAAGTATACTTGTTCCCAGCTGAGGAAAAATATTTCTGTGATACAGTTTAGAAGGCTTGGCTAATGGTTTCACAAGTGATGTGAGGGGAGAGTCTCAGAGTAATGTGAGGAAGTGAACTGATCATATAATGTCTGGGGATTGTGTCCTTTGAAGAGTCATAGATAATCACTGGTTTGCTGGTTGAGGAAGGAGCTAAGGGATGTTTCATACTGCCCACCAACGTGTAGCTTTGATTGTAAGCACAGAGATCAAAACTTTTACTCCTCCTTCTTGCATGGTATTCTTGTGGATTTGTTAGAAATTTTTTGCAATGAAACAGTTAAAGGCCACTGAAACTTCTCAAACAGATAACAGAAGCTGGTCGGACTAAGCAGCTTGCTACTGCTGCATCGTGTCAGAACGATTTATCTGCAGAGAACAGAGATCATGCACTGCACACAAGCCAGGGTTTTGTACCACTCTTTACATGAGTATCAGAAGCCCAGACGAAGGGAACAGCCGGTTGGCAAGCAGGCTGAGAACAAGGGAGTAATCCTTCCAGAGAAGTCAACACACCTCTCTCAGCAAAGACACTAAGCTCGTAGTCTGACAGGCATTTCTATCAGCAGCAGATACTGACTCTGTACCACCCTCTCAGTTATACAAACAGATGTCCCTGGAGCCATAAAATGCCCCACGTCCAAGAGCTGGGGCAGATGACTTCAATTTTAAAGTAACTTTGATAATCATGCCCTTTTTAATTAAAAAACTGTAAACATTTTCAGCCCAACCTTAACCACAATCTTTAACCCCTTATCCAGATCACCACACACTGCTGCAAAAAGCTGGCTGTACCTTTGTAGCTGAGGGAGTGAGGCGTCAGGGAAGGTGAGAGATTTGAACAGTGGTGGCCATGCTAGGGCTGCTTAGCCACTGCATGTCAAGATGGGCTTTGGTGGGGCTTCCACGGTCTGCAAGCCACACAGATGACGGAAGTGTGGACCAAGGAAAAGCAACTGCCATCAGGAATCCTAAAAGGAGTACTGAAGGAGAGTCATCCATGGCAGTTACTACCAAATGTAATCTGTCTGTAAATACGGCTGCTAGAAATCGGAAAAACATTGTTCAGAGCACCAGGTGGTATCAGTAAGATAGAGGGCCTGCTGGATGAGGGCTCTGGAAGCTTTGAGGGGTATTCATCTTTGGAATTCCATTAGACTGTGTGTTGTACTAGCACAGACTAAAAAGACTGCTTCAATTCTAAAGATAAGTGTGAAATATATGCAGAGAATGCTAAAGGGAATGTATTAATAGACTTTCAGAACTTTTTTTGTAGAATACTTTATATAGGTTGAGGCTTTTAGACAAACATCAAAAGTAAACAACAGGAAAAGAAGATTCTATGAGAATGGGTGTAAGAGAGAAGTAGTCCAAAGAACTAACTTTGAACCTCCATAGCTGAAGATGATCTCCAGGTAATTGCAAAACATAAAAAACCTCATATAATATGGGTTGGATAGATCTAGCTGGCCTACAAAGAGTGTTAAATGCAGTACTTTCATGTATTCCATTTATGCAATGGATAGGATTTGATCTGAAGCAGAGTTCTAGAAGACTAGCTTCAT